AACGGTGAATTTGGTATAGGACGTGCACGCAAAAACCAACCTTACGGCAACTTTACGGCCGCATTTTTTGTGAAGTAGTTTTTTTTTTGGTTTCATTCTAAGCTTGATACAGGCTTATTTTGATTGATTTTTCGGGAAAACCTTTAAAAGTTACGATTTTTTTAAAACGCGGGGCAACGCGGGGTTATACAAAACCCAAAATATTCGAATGAAATTTTTCCGTGTCTTTTTCGCGTACTAAATATGACGTCACTGTTTTTTTTTTTTCCGGGAAATTTTTTAGAGTATTATCGTGCATGTCAGTTTAAACTTAATATTCACACGTTTTTCATCTTTCACATTTTTTGTGCTAGGATTTGACAATTTATTCTTTGAAATAGTCTATGGTTTCCTGCCCGAAATTGACTGGCAACGTCATTTTCCACGTATTTTCTGAGCTTTTACACATTATCTGTTCCCCATTTTGCGATTCTCTTTTTTTTTTTTTTTTCCACTTTCTATGCGATTATCGACTTTTTCCTCCACTGATTTAATCATTGTTGAAGTTTACTGTTTTTGCAGATTTTGCCTTTTAAAAACCGTTCCGCGTTCATGTCACAACATCGTAGACATATAGTTAGATGGGAGCGCGAGGTGACTACGCGTGCTTGGGTCGGCGTCCCGAGCGCCAGCGAGGCGCTACTATGTGAGCCCGAGTCACTCTACCTACGCGTAGTGACTGTGGCGACGCGTCAAACTGTTGCAAAGATGGCCGGAGACTCCGAGAAGGAACTCGACATACTCATGCTCGCCGCGAGCCAATCCTCGAACGCTCTCTATTATATATTTCGCCTCTCTTACCTATCGCGTCTTCACGCTCGCTCCCCAATAGATCCCGTCGTCCGGGGCAGCGGGATCTACGACAAATAGATCCCGCGTTTGGACCAATGAAATTGCGCGATTTCAAATCACCGGGATTTAAGCTTATTCACTAACATGTACGTTTTTATGACTTCACATTTTTTCACATATCTGACTTATCGAGGCCAATTACTAAGTTATGTCGGGTTCCACATATTTTCTGACGAAACTTGGTTATATGACACCGTTATTTTAACACGTTATACTGGTTTACCAATTGGGGAATTGTGAATTGAAAAGTGTGAAGGTTTTTACATTCCTCGTAATATCTAGTTGCTTTTTGGATTTTGTTCACATCTGTAACCGCTCTGGGAGGACAAAGTCGACCAAATCGGCGCCAAATATAGTTTTTCCGATATGCGCGTATATACACTAAAAACTCGATGGTTTTGGGCAAATTTTGTTTATGAAAACTATAACCTAGGGTGACGTTTTCGCGTTCGTAGCGCCAGCAGCGTCTCTCCTCACTAGTTGTGGGACGTTGGCTCCGCGTGTATATACGTCGTAAAATTTACACGCGTACGGAAGGCGCGCGCGTTTTTGCGAAGCGCCGCTCGAACGGAAGCAGTTTCGAAGGTGCTGATTTTTTATATCGATCTCCACGCGCCCGTAAACCAGAGAAATACACGGCATTTACTCTGCGAAAGTTTATCTTCACGATAGTTCACAAGGAAAAATTTCTTCACATCCGCACCAAATTTTGAATTCAAAAATATTTTTATATATGTCACCGTGAAGACGTTCACATCGAAAACCGGTGGTGAATGTATCCATTGAGTTTCTCTGAATTCACACTAGTGTCTGAATTGTAGATGCCGTTGTTCTCAGATTGCATTCTGTTTTGTGCAGGCTGGGTAGTGCCACTTTGTTTTCCTACACGTCCCTGACTCATGGACATGAGAGTCCCACTACGGACTCGGGGTCCTCTCCGGCGAAGAACTGGATCACTGAGGAGGCGTGGGTGTAGCTAGCGTTGGTCATGATGACGTAGTCTATTTCTGGGCAAAGTAACATCCAAAAAGCCATCCGGCGAAGGGTCGAGGTAACCCGCGCGGAGCGAATCCTTTCCGCGTTATCACGCATTGTGACCGTCCACGCAAAAACCAACCTTACGCCACACTGTTAAATTATCGAGTATAAGTAACACCACTTTTTTATGTATAAGTGGACGGTTAACACGATGGAGTGGTTTTTGTGTGCACGGTCAGAACGCGAAGAAAAACGTTATAAACGCAAAAACAACGGTGCCTGACGTGAAAAACCCAACAATATGTGGAAAAATATTACACCAACGAAAAACAATAGATCGCATTAAAACCAACGACATTTATATACACACTCAAGACCACGATGCCGGAATTTTGCCATAAAACTCAAGGACAAACCATAAGCTTCAAATGCTCATCCACCAGCACGCTTATGTTGTTGGCTGAACAGCCAATGGTGCGAAGCTACCATCTGCTGGATTATGACTGAACGCCTCTAAGTCAGAATCCACGCTATTGGCCACGCCCACTTTTATTTATCATAATTAATATTAATTTTTTAACATGTGCCGTTAGGCGGTGGGTTTAGGGTCGAGATTAAGCAATGAATTCGACATGCAAAAAAAGGGAGTAGGCTAATCAATTGTACTCTTCATGCGAGAGAAAATTCACCGCTTACTTACGGAAGGGAGAACATTGGGATTGCGGACAAACGGTGGGATTACTTGCGACAGATATCTTCTTAACACTTTTCTGGCCTTTTAAAACAGCACGTCCCCGCCAACGTGACCAAGCCCACGTATAATTCGTATACTTCGTGAGTTTACCGCGGTCAGATTTACAAAAAATAACGCAATCTGAACGGAGACCAACCCAGCGCGTTGGACAGGCCTTAATTCAGCTGAGGAACTGTATCTCATAGCCATTGCACGTTTTTTCACTTACGAAAACAAAAATATCAAATGCCAAATATTTATGAAATCGCGATGAACGCAGATTAACAAAAAAACGTGTAAAAAAACGATGAATATGAGACGCCCAACCGCAATTTAACGTGTCGAAATAAAAGAACCTGTAAATTTTAAAATGAGCAGTCAATAAAAACGCAAAATAACTGCCAATTCTAAAAAACATGAGTATGAAATAAACAAATGCTGAGATAAAACCATAATATAAATAACCACTCTCAATTGCAATTAAAATACTTAAAATGCGTGGAAGAGAGGAGCCAATTTGGCGCAACACGCAATTCCATTTAACGCCCACCCACAATTCAACCTATTAAACGTGTGAATTTAAACGTCGATTTTAAGGACAATTTTTAAACGATAGCTCATATACGTCACGTTTCAAAATTCAGCGTTATGACACGTTTATTATTTGGATACATATCAGTAGCACCTTGCTCATTTTTTAAACATTATTGCCGTTTTTTCACGTTTTTACTCATCTACATACATAATTACAGTCTATGCTTACTTGCTTTTTCGGGGAAATGGCACCCTTTCTTCACGGATTTTTTGCACGTTTTTCACTAATATGTAGGTTGTGCACTTATTTTTGTATCATATACAGTGCTTCTACGTTCACATCCCAAATTCACACGGTTTATTTGGTGGGCAACGATTGGAATTGTGGGTGGGCGTTAATTGGAAATGTGAGTTTATAAAATTGGTAATGCGGTACCGTCATTTTGCGTATATATCCTCTGTTTCATGAGCCTTTGCACGTTTTGTAAACAATTCTGCAATGTGTCCATGTTCATATTTGGTATTCACACGAATTGGCACGCCTTCATCCACGAATTTTTCACTTATCTACGTGCTTATATGCGTATATTTAAATAGTGCCAGGTTTATATTCCTAATTCACACGTTCTTCATGCGATTTCACACTTTTATTTCACACTTTTATTTTTGGAATTGTGCTTGTGCGTTAATTGGAAATGAGTTCTTTTCCGAAATTGAACGTCATTCCATGCGTTCATCTGTTCTGAGTACGTTTTTCGCCATTCTACGTGATCATTGCCTTTTGCACTCATTAATTCTTAGCGCATGACGGTCGCATGTGCCAAATTTATTGTAATGTCGCAATTTTTTCTGTCTGCATTTATATATGCTGATCGAGAGAAAAGAGATGCTTCAGCAGTCACGTGGATAATTCTCATGTACGAGGAAGCTCCTCAACCACGATTCTGTTTCTCTTTCGCAAGCATCACAGAGGACGAAGGTCTGCGATATCTCTCAGACCGTACTGCACATACTCTCTTGCTGAACAGTGAACCACTCCCTCCAATTTGTTGACCCAGAGGAGGTTGAAAAACATGAATGGTGTTCGCTGAACTCGTACCTCGCCGAGTTAATGTTGTGGGAGCTGAGGTGACCGGTTTCTTTTCAAACTGCCTTTCTCAAAGCTAACAAACCCGAGCGAGGTTACGTGAATGAGTGGGCGTCGCCTCAATATCGCGTGGAGTGATTTGGAAGTCCCTCGCGTCAGGTTTACACTACTCTGTCGAGTTTACTCTTTTGCCGTCTCTTGCACAAATGCTCGTGATAAGAAGCTAAAGTTTTTGTGTCAGATCGTGTTTGTCACATTGCAACCTGTGTGTATAAACGCGGGTTGTTACGTTCTTTTGTCAGCTACAAGAATGCCGCCCACCGGCGCTAAAGTACCCCATGGGCGTTTCCCAGTTTGCACAGCGTCCGTGACATCCGTCCGTACGGCGGGGTAATTCCTGTCACATGCGCCATGACATCCGTCCGGTTCCCCGTTTATCTAGTTCATATACACTGCATCAACGTTCATATTTCATATTCACACGTTCTTCTGCGTTTCCACACTGAATTGTGGATTGCAAATGTGAGTTGTCGCAAATTGGTATAAGCTTTGGTACCATATTCGCGCCTTCCCTTCCGCGCGCCCAGCGGGCGCAATGCGCAGAGCATGAGCCCTGGCCCTGCATGCCGCTGCATGCAATTCGCGCGAGCGCCCGCCGTGGGCGCTTACGATTATCGGCGTCATATCGTCCCTGTTGCATAACGACTGTACACTCAGGGCGCAGTCTCGCACGTCACACGGGGGCGTGGCCACCTAAACAGATAACTCCCACATTCGAACTAAGACGACGATGATGCGCCCCGCCGAGGGCATATTGCGGTCACACGACACAGAAATCGAAGCCAATCCTGACAATGAGATCTGCAAATTCTCAGTCGGATGGGTATGCAGCACCTGGACCTCGGAGCGGAAAGCCGGGTCGAAGGAAGGGGAGACAGCTGCCCTGGGAGTGGAGCCTTGCTGCGTCGCCCCAATTCTCGTAGTGGGACACCTGGATTCGGGTTAGTGCGTTGTAGAACCAGAGAAAGGGAAGGTAAAAGAGGAGAGAGAGAGAAGGACAAGAGGAAAAGGGGGGAAGGGTAAGAGTGGAATTATCACACCCGAAGGTCTTATCCTGACCCTGACCCTGTTTGTATACGAGTGCCTGCTTAGATGCCCACGCTCTGCACGCATCCATAATATACACAACAAGGGTGAAGCATGAGGGTGATATATAAGATGGTAGGGCGATGTAAAGGTGACGTTCACCATCCACTTGCTCGTTGCAGCCGCCTCCCTTTACCTTCCTGCTGCATGTTTTCACCGAGTGTGACCCGCCACACTCCCTACATACGTGGTGGAACCAGCATCGAGGCCCGAAGCTGAAGACGCCGCTGGAGTTAAACAAAGCGCACACATCTGAGGCCCAGGTGCGCCGCCCCAACCAGCCCGATTGTGATAGCAATTCTCTTTTCTTGACCGGGCTGTTTGCTGCCAGATGCTGTGTGCTATCACACACGTGGCAACATGCCACCGCCTGGTGTACAGGTCAACATCCACCTTTGACAATTCTCTATTTCCAGTCGCCACCCGAAAGTCGGTATCGTAGGCTCTCCACTGCAGCCCGTCATACTGCTGAGCCGCCTTAATTATTGTAAGCTGGTAGGAGCGCTGGCTTGCTCCATGAATTTTTGGAGCAACGCAGCGATGTACACAGTGTACGCTTTCGTCCGCTCCGTAATGGATTGTTTCCGCTTCGGGCAGATCACATCAAACAGGGCGAACCTCGCCTGGGTGTCGATCGTCTGATCGTGGACGGACTGGGGAGGCACGAGCTGCGCCAGATCGATGAATTCCCACAGCTGGCCGATTGACGCCCGGTCGCTCGTAAAAGTGTTTGCCTGGCCGATGTTCCCCGACATAGAACTCTGTAGTAACGTCTAACTCTGGCGTGTATAGCCCGCCAGTATGTGATACGGACGGAGACCAGTACAAAGACCCTATAAACAGCGTACAACACACTTATATACAACAGACTGAATATGCGTACAAGTACAGAATACACACATACAGTCAGTACACATTCTGCATGCACCAATACCCACCTAAGTCATGCTCTAGCAGAGAGGAGTACTGTGGCCAATTGTCGGAGATCAGTGTCTCAGGAATACTTTGTCGTGCGAATAGAGACTTCAGGTGAGTGACCATCTCTGCTTGTTGACACGAGCGATCTCGATGTACCTCGTCCACAACGAGGAGATAGATGGACTGGTTCCACTCGGCCACTTTCTGCCCAGGCAGGGCAGGTAGAGGGGTTGGAGTGAGTGGTTGTGGTCATTGCTGTTGAGCTTTCAGGCACTCTCTGCCAGCTGAAGTCAAACCGTACTACACTGTCTCAGTGGAGCTGACAGTACAGGAAGGCCTTTTGCTCAGAGGCAGCCGTATTGTCATCCCTGCTACGCAAAACACAGCTCCATCGGCAGACGACAAGTTACTTCATCAAGAAACCACTGCTTACGTAGACGTCGTGGTCAGACCTCTACCAGCAACAGAGCGACGACTAGCTGAAATACATGAGTGCCACAAGTCCGACCGTGCATGTCAGCACATGGTAGAATTCTGTCAGTCAGGCTGGCCCGACTCTTCAATCTACTTTGGCCACCAGATGGATTGCCTGGCCAGCCTTGGTGACAACAGTGGATTTTGTTTAGAAGTGTTGAGAGCGCGTCCGCGATTGTCAGGTCTTTCCCTGGAACGTGAACTGGAAGTGCATACTGAACCTCTGTACTCGAAGAGGTAGCTCTTCCAGGTGTTTGGAGCTGAACAGTGGTACCAACGGCTTATGGTCGGTCTGGATGTGGAACTGCAACCGGATGAGGTAATCTGAGAGTCGTTTACAGGCCCACGTGAAGTCTAATGCCTTCTTCTCAATCTGAGCGTATCTCTTCTCAGTTGGGGTCATCGCTCTGGATATGTAGGCCACTGGCTGCAATTCCCTTGACGTCTGAGACCGTGTGACGATGCGTCAGCTGAGAGAACAGTCTCCAGGTTCGGGTCAAAGAGAGCAAGAACTGGGCTGGCAGTAAGAACTTCTTTGACTCTGTTGAATGAGCTCTGTTAGCCCTATCTCTCCCCGCAGCCATGCATTCTCTTTTACCATGATTTCCGAGGTTTGGTGAGCTGGTTGACCATGCCGAGGAATCGACGGATGTCGCTGACGTTGCCAGGAGTCGCAAATCCTACGATGGCAGAGACTTTGTTTGGATCTGGTCTGACTGTCGATCACATGTCCAAGGAACTCGACTGCACACTTCTCAGAGTTTAGTGTCATGCCCAAGTTACTCAGACGTTGAAGAACTAGTCGTAGTCGCTTGTCGTGTTCCGTTCCGTGGACGAGGATATCATCCATCAGGCACACCGTACCTGAGAGCCCACTCAGAACCTCTGACATACGTCGCTGAAAGTGCTCTGGTGCCGATGATATTCCGAACGGTAGTCGACGAAAGTGATACCACCCGAATGGAGTGATGAATGTTGTCAGGAGTGCAGATTCAGGAGACAGGGGAATCTGCCAGAATCCCGAGTTCGCGTCTAACTTGGTGAACACCTTGGCTCCTGCTAATTGAGTCAGGGTTTGGTCTACAGCAGGGAGTGGGTGACTCCCTCTCTTGACCCTTTCGTTCAGCCTTGCAGGTCAACGCAAATCCTGACCTTGGAGTTCGCTTTCGGCACAACTACCATCCCTGAGCACCACTTTGTCGGCTGGTTCACCTTGGCTATCACTCCAATCCTCTCCATCCTCTCCAGCTCTTGACGGAAACACTTGACGAGAGGGATCGCAACTCTCCGAGGGAGAACGGTTCTGCGTCGTCACGGAGTTCAATCCAGTACTCGCCTTAGAGTTTCCCTAGTCCTTCGAAGAGTGATGGGAACTCATCCTTCGGAGAGAGCTGTGATGAGTGGTCGACGGCTGCGATTCGCTTGATGAGTAGAAGATCGAGAATTGCAGATCGTCCAAGGAGAGACTTGGTGAGTCGTTTCGCAACGTAGACGTCGGTGTCAGCTGTTCGGTCCCACAGCGTGACGGTACCAACGAACTTCCAAACAGTGGGTATGATGTTCCAGCTGAGGTTGACCAGGACTTTTACAGACAATTTTAAAATCGCCTCTCTTATTGCAATTTTTGCAGATTTTATCTCTAGCTGGACACCTGGACTTGGGATCTTGCCACACCAGTTGCACCTGTGCGGTTTTTGGCTTGTAGTGGGGCTTACGCCTGGGTTGTTCTTACTACCCTGCGTAATCCCGCCACGAGACTTGTTGACGGCGCCCACTGGTGTATCAGGTTTACCGCGTAACAATGGTTGCTGCTGCCTTACGGCTTCTGACTGTCTGACCTGAGTAATGGCGCTGTGCAAGGTGAGTCGTGGGTCCAGCAGCAACTTCTCCGAGAGAGTGTTGTTTCGGATGCCGCTGATGGGATTGGTAGGGCTCAGGGTCAAGGCGAATGCGCAGCGCATTGCGCCCGCGATAGAGAACGCGTGAAGATTGAAATTGGGATCAACCTAGCAACGCTCGCAGTTCTGTCCTCTTCCACCTGTCAGCAACAGCGCCGTTTTCTTCGCAAAAGTTGAAAACCATGGCGACGTCAACCAGCTCCACACCGACTAGCGACAACGGTCGCGAGTTCCCGGCGACCGACTACGTCTCTCGCGTCTGCAGTCTCAGCTCTGACAGTTAGTCCGACAATGGCTACGTCAGCATTGGTTGACCAAGTCACGTCATGGGTGCTGCAATCAAACTTTCGCACAGCCTTGTCTCTGGGACTTGCCACTGGGGGTTCGAGCTCCGTTCCTGGCTCCTGGTATCCGCTTCATCTTCACGTCCCAGCAACAGCAGCGTCCTCCCAGCTTCTATCCCCACTCCGGGTAGACATTTCTCGTGCTCGACTCTACTATGGCGTTTGGGGTCGGTGGTGGCCTACCCTATAGTCCCTCGGCGCAGTGGGGCGTTGCTGTGGCGTATAATAGCGAGGTAAGAATGCCAGCATTATGTACAACCAGTCTTATATAGGAAGGCGCCTGCCTTGAGCGTGTGATGTGTGTGGCCTGCGTTAGCAGCGGCGGGGCAGCATCAGCAGCAGTATGGCTCGCATCTGCAGAGATGGGGAGGCAGCAGCTAGGTTTGCCTCCGCAGCGGCGGGGTAGCAGCAGCAGCGTTAGCGGCAGCAGCAGCAGCTGCATGGCTCGCATCTGCAGGGATGGGCAGCAGTAGCGGCAGTTGTTGAGCAGCAGCAGCAGCGGCAGTTGTCGTGTGGCAGCAGCATCGGCAAGAGCATGGCGGTTCGCCGTAGGGTAGCTGCGACGAAAGTCGGCAGCGGGAAGCATGCTGCCTTTCCGGGGCTAGTTGGTACAGCAGTTGGCGGCGGGTGTTTGGCCAGTTGCGAGCAGCGTTTTTCTTGTTCTCCCCCACAGGGCTGGCCCCGGCAACATCGGCGGCAACCCTGGGTGGGTTGCCTGCATCAATGCCCGCATTGCCAGTGGCGGCGTCGGGAGTATCAATCCCATCAGCAGTGTCTGCCTTGAGCGGGGCCTCGGCATGCTCGTCGGTCGGCCCCTCTCCAACGGTTGCGTCAGCGGCGAGCATCCCCGAGCGTGGATGGCGGTCATGAGTTCTATGTCGGGGAACATCGGACAGGCAAACACGAGCGACGGGGTATTGATCGGCCATGGCCTGCCGACAGTGCCGAAATCCCTTCTAGAGAAAATACGGCGGTGGGAATTCATCGATCTGGCGGAGCTCATGCCTCCCCAGTCCGTCCACGATCAGATGATCGACACCCAGGCGAAGTTCGCCTTGTTCGAGTTGATCCGCCCGAAGCGGAAACAGATAGAGTCCATTACGGAGTGGACGAAGGCGTACACTGTGTACATCGCTGCGTTGCTCCAAAATTCCCGAAGCAGGCGAGCGAGCTGCTGGCCTACCAGCTTACAATAATTAAGGCGGCTCAGCAGTATGACGGGCTGGCCGCCGCAGCGACTGGAAATAGAATGGTCAAAGGTGAACGCTGACCTGTACACCAGGTTTTTCACGGGACGAGCAAAGGCGGTGGCATGTTGCCACGCGTGCGATAGCACACAGCATCTGGCACATCCCGGTCAAGAAAAGAGAATTGTTATCACAATTGGGCAAAAACGGCGGCGCACCTGGGCCTCAGATGTGTGCGCTTTGTTTAACTCCAGCGGCGTCTGCAGCTTCGGGCCTTGATGCAGGTTCCGCCACGTATGTGGGGAGTGTGGCGGGTCTCACTCAGCGAAAACATGCTCATTTATGCTCAACAAGCCAGTAGGAAGGTAAAGGGAGCCGGCTGCAACGAGCAAGTGGAGGGTGAACGTCACCTATAGCTAGGGGATTGGCCTGCGTGGGAGCAGGTGCTGCATACCCATCCCGACAGAGAATTTGCAGATCTCATTGTCAGGGGTCTCCGGGAAGGATTCCGGATTGGCTTCTTCGATTTCTCGGAGTTCGGCAGCACCATGTCGTGCGACCGCACTATGCGCTCAGCTCTGGAGCACCAAAACGTAGTCGACGAGTACCTCGCAGAAGAGCGTAGCGCGGCCACTTCCTCGGCCATTTTAAGCAGTTACCAACAGCTTCGCTCATAGTCAGCAGGTTGGGAGTAATCCCTAAGCGGGGGAGAGAGAACAAGTGGCGTCTGATCGTGGATCTATATACTTCCCCGAAGGGCATAGCGTCAATGATGGGATTCGCTGAGCTGCTAGCTGTCGTACGTCACGATCGACGACAGAGTGCGCGCGCTCGGAAGGGGCTCTCTGATTCAAGGTGCCAATCCACCCCCAGGACCGCATCCTCCTCGGGATGCAGAGGAAGAACCAGTTTTACGTGGATACGAGGTTACCGTTCGGTTTGCACTCGTCACCGCTGATCACCTCTGCAGCCGCAGATGCTCTCGAGTGGGCGGTGAGGGAGTCCAGGTTCGAGCATGTCTTCCACTACATCAACGATTTCGTCGTCCTCGGCCCGCCCGGCAGCGCTGTGTGCGAAAGGGGCCTGCAGTGCCTCCAGTAAATGTGCAAAAACTTACGGCTGAGGACAAGACCGAGGGCCTGCTACGCGGCTTACAATGCTCGGGACCGAGTTCGATTCGCAGGCCATGGTTCTTCGGTTTCCGCCCCAAAAACTTCAAAGACTCCAGTCCCTCCTTGCCGAGTGGCACACGAGATGCTCGGACCGCAGAGGGGAGTTGGAATCCCCGGTCGGCATCATACAGCACGTGAGCAAGGTGGTACGTCATGGCAGCTGTTTCTTGCGTCGCCTTTACGACCTGCTGGCACAGACGCAGAAGTTCAAGAAACATTACAAAGTCAGGCTAAACATCGAATGCCAGGCGGACCTAGAATGGTGAGTCTCGTTCAGTTGGCATTTGAACAGGGCGTCTATGTTGAGACCAGTCCTGGAGAGTAGCCCGGACGTGCACCTCTAGTCAGATGAGTCGGGCTCATGGGGATGTGACGCCGTCTGGCAGAGCCTGTGGTTTGAAGTGGCGTGGAATCTCCTTCCCATTGCTTCTGCCAGCATCGCACCGAACGAATTTTTTTCCGATTGTAGTTGCAGGAGCGATATGGGGACGGCAGTGAAAAGGGGCTATGGTCTGCGCCCACTGTGACAACGCGGCGGTGGTGGAAATCATCCACAGCGGGAGGGCTAAGAACCCGCTGCTTGCCCATCAGCTGCAGGGGCTGTTCTATACGTGTGTGCTTATTTCGAGATCACGGCGGTGCATACTCTGGGCAAGGAGAACGGCCCAGCGCGCCTACACCTCGGCACAAGCACGGTACGCCGAATTTTGCGCCACTACTCTTGCCGTTGACTGAATCTGGTCTATGTAAATACTTCGCATGGCTAGCTGCACAGAATATATCATTCAGAACCATAAAGTCTTTTCTGTCGGCGCTGCGCTGCCTTCAGATTCACCGCAGGGGTTGCGACCCACAGATGAGCGGGATGGTGGTTCTACAGTACGTGGTGCAAGGGGTCAGACGCTCACAGGCGCTGACGGGAACAAATACCCCTCGAGCGAAGTTGCCAAACACCACGGACATCATGCGGAGGCTTAGACGCTCGTGGGAGGCCAGGGGCGTCGATTTCAACACGGTCATGTGGTGGGCAGTTGCGTGCACTTGCTTTTCGGCTTCCCGAGGTCGGGGGAGGCAACTCTGCCGTCGGCGTCGGCGTACGATCCGGGAGATAGAAGATGTCCTCCTCGGTCAGCTCCGTCTAAGATTTTGGTTCACATAAAAGCCTCGAAAACGGATCAATTCCTCCTGGGAGTGACCATTTGTCTCGGGAGAACGGAACAAGAGCTTTGTCCGGTGGAGGCTCTCCTCAGCTACACCTCTCGGCGGGGTTTGGCTCCTGGTCCGATCTTCCGGCACGAAGACGGGCAGCCACTCACATACGTCGCACATGTGAGAGAGATACAGGCTGCGCTAGGAGCAGCGGGGCTGCATGCAGCGCTCTTCGCGGGCCACAGCTTCCGTATATATAGGAGCGGCCACGTCGACAGCGGCCGCTGGTGTGGAGGACGCTCTTATAAAACGTCTAGGTAGGTGGCAAAGTTCAGCGTACCTGCGCTACGTTAGAGTGGCGAGGAAGAGCCTCGCCAACGTCTCGGTCTGTCTGGCCACACGGTAGGAGCGACTGTCTCCTACGGCAGAACCTACACGTGGTTGAGTAGGACCGATTGTACATGTGCGTCGTTTTTCCTGGTGTATACATGTTACGCACGCGCATATTTTTCCTCGCGCCTGCCAGCCAATGCGTAAACCGTCCGACTGAGGCCGCTCGTTCGTGCGCTCTACTGACTGCGCGCGAAGCCACGAATCTGCGCGCACGGCGGAAATTGACATTCCTAAGCGTGACGAATTGACATTCCATAGGCGTGACTAATGGACATTCTTAAGCGTGACCGATACGTACGTACGCATATACAAACCGGCCTCACGCTAACCCACTCGGCAACAAACCAAGTAACTGTCAAATGTACTATACTGAATTCAGGGCATTTTTGGCGAGCGGGAGCGAGCATGTATCAGCACGAGTCATCCTAGCCTGTTTACAACGGGCAATGAAGGTCAGAATAGTGGAACTCTGAAACTGCTTTGTTGCAAAGCTTGAGCGCGAAAAAGCCAATATGCAAATACACAACAGCGGTATGGTCGATCCGCGTGCTCTGCGTAAGTTACCTCGGAGGCACCAGAAGATGTAACGCAGGGCGTGTATCGCCTCTCGCATGCTATTTAGTAGTGTAGTTAACCCGCGACAGACTGCGCGAGACCACGAGTAACAGCTAAAACTAAACCCAGCCCATCAATTAGTGGTACGGTAAATGCATTTACTAGAATAAAGGTCTTGTGCTATATACTTCAAAATCTTTTACAGTAACAAGGGCCGGTATGTTGAAAACTACTTGGAGTTCATCAACATCTCTTTACGTCAGCAGTTCTCACTCATCTACAAGCCTCTTGACAGAAACATGTATGTAAAAAGACCTCGGCGCGCATGCGCAGCGAGGGTACGGTAGTTGGGTGTCTATCTGTCTGTGTGTGTGGTGTGCGTGTGTGTCTGTTACTCTACATCTCACACCTCGAGTGTTTGTTCGGATATGACCTACTTACTACAGGGCAATGAAGGTTAGAAATTTCGAACGGTTTTCTCTGAAACTGCTCCGTTGCAAAGCTAGAGCGCGATAAATACACAGCGGTACCGCGGTCTGATCGATCCGCGTGCTCTGCGTACCTCGGAGGCACCAGAAGATGCAACGCAGGGCGTGTATCGCCTCTCGCATGCTATCTAGTAGTGTAGTTAGCCTGCGTCAGACTCTGCGCGAGCTGGCAAGAGACCACGAGTAACATCTAAAACTAAACCCAGTCCATCAATTATGCGTCACAATGCGCTGAGGGTTTGCGTTTTATTTTTTCTCTGCAGGTGGCTGGATGACCCGACCCTACTTCAGTAAACGCTTATTACATAGCAGTCTTCAATCAAATATGTAAGTAATTAGACATGCAATAGGTTATAGATTTGAACCTTACAGCAATTCTTGAGGCTATAATGCGGACTCCGTCTTTTAGTGATGAGTGGCCACTGTAAGGAAACTGTTGGTCAAATTATTTTATGTTGTACGCTAATGTTTGTAGGTCGGTGCAGTATGGTGCTCTTGGGATGGTATTGGGACATGAACTTACTCACGGATTTGACAATAATGGTAAACATTTCACTGTCCATGCATCCTACAACAGCTATCTAAATTCCCCACTGAACTTACTCATGCCTCTTTCTTTCTGTTATTGTCTGTTTTTGTATGCTTGGGTATGTTATTGTCTGTGTCTTGTGTGCTTGGGTGGGGGAGGTTCCTCTGGTATTATTCTTTTAGCTAGTATGCTATAAACATGTTTTTTCATGGATTTGAGAATATTGGCATTACGTTTGTCATAGATGCATGATAGATGATAAAAGTACTGAGTTATGGCGTGAAAACCAAGCGAAAATGCCAATAAGCAAATTAGCACAGGCTATATAACCTCAACTAGATCCGCTTGCTCTACGCACCTTGGAGGCACCAGATGTTACAACGAAGGACGAGTATCAACTTCTTCATTCTATCTAGTGTAGCTAGAGCCCTTGTCACACTCTCCGCGAGCTACTAGCGAGAGACCACGAGTAAACGCATACTAATAGGCCTAGCTCATCAACTGCCGGTAATGCGCATGCGCAGTTCGCCTAGGGTTTGCACTTTAGTGCTTTTCATTGTTTCATCTATTCCACGCTTTTTCAACGTGTTCAAGGTTTCTGGAATATTTTCTGCTCACATGCGCCTTCTTGTGTGTTTGTGCATGTTTTACTGCACTGCAACTAATTTTTTTGTGAATATAGCTACAGTTTTTCCATCGGTTAGCGTATTCGAAACTCTGAAGTATTATTATTTGGTCACCTGTTCTTTCTTATGCGTTTGAACTGCGTTTATGGAACTTATTCACGTGTTTTTGCTATTTCGCACGTTTTCCCCTGTGTTGCACGTTTTATGTTTCGGCAATGGAACTTTTGTCTGAGCCCCATGTTTTTACTTCGCATTTGAACGATTTTTCTGCATTTTTCTCACTCCTCCATCCTTTTTTGGCTGTTTGCAGACGTTTTTCTCTCTTCTCCACGTTTTTCTGCCCATTCGAACCTTTTTAACACAGATCTATGTTTTGACTTAGTTTATTACGTTTTTATTTGTTTTTATGTGGAGAAATACTACTACTAAAACTCAAAAATAAAACAAATGAAAAACAAAACAAAACAAACGAAACAACAAACAGATTAAATGATGCTGTCAATAGAAGGGGGGCCAATGGGGAATCGATGGAGCCAAAGAGCGGCATTCCCACGCCAGAGAGAAACAGAGCAGCGCTGGAAGAGGTGACGAATTGAGTCCGCGGGAGAGACCCCTAAACGCTGGCCTAGGAGGCGACCAATTCTGGACAACGAGGTGGTTGTGGCCTCACTCATGCCGCCCAGGGCCTCAAAAGCAAGGGGGATGAAAGAGACCCCAACAGCGCGGCAAGCGGGGGCATGAGCTGACATCTTTCGATGCTCCGCAACAGCGAGGGCATGGCCAGCAGAGGAAGCAGCCCCTTGAAGGGTGAGGGGTTGAAGGGGGGAAATGACGGTCACATCCATAGCAGCTGGTTGACCCCGTTCCCAATTAGGAAGAAGGATGTCGGCAGGGCGGCTCTGTGATCCGGGGATGAGAGAAGGGACCTCCTTTCGCGGAGCCAAAGCAGCGGAGCGGGCGGCATGAAAAATGGAATCACATACAGAGTTGTGCCTAAGGATTCTATCACCGTTCCCCCCCGCAACCGACCTGGTGGTCACCAAAGGGGTCAGCAGCTGAGTGGCAAACGCCACATTTCACCCCCTCCTCAAAAATCGGGACCCCCAACCAATATTGTAGGCAAACCCGGAACTCACGATCCATGAAGTGAAGGCCGAGGGAAGGCGAAGGAACAGCGTTCAGCCAATCACCAGCATGGGGGAGAGAACACGATTGGGCAAGGGCCAGAGAACGGGTGTCAGGGGCGGAGGAGAGAAGAAGGTCGAAAGATTCCTGGTCAATTTCGTATGAGAGGGAGCGCTGCCGGAGGGGGACATCGATGTCCTGTAGAGAGACCCACTCAGGATGCCCAGCTGCCCCAGCAAGAGTGGCCAGGCAGGAAGGGAGACTAGCGGGGACAGGAGGAGGGTGGCGGAGAATTTGGGCAACGAGGGGGTTGGAGAGAGCGAGGGATCCAATGAAAGCCGCAGGAGCGTGGAGGGGGGCCTGACGGAGATTAAGGCCACCCAAAGAGACAGGCAGCGACGCTTTCAACCAGCTACAGTCAGAGATGGGGCCCCCACAGAGGTCTTCCAAGGAGTCCCGCATGATGTTGTCAAAGGCTGCAAGTGCAGGATGAATCAGGTTAGGGGCACAGGTGCGGAGAGTGAAGGAAATGTTGGGGAGGGAGAGGCAGGACCGCAAGAGAGCGGTTTCCATTTGGGTATCTTGGAGGTCCCTCAAATTCACGAGGGTGTCCTGAATTTTGGCAATCCTCTTCATGACTGTGGAGGTGCAGAAGGAGGCAGATCCTATAGGGCAACCCAGAAGCACAAAACCGCCATCGGAGACAGGAACACCCTGGGGAAGAGACGAAGAGGGGGGTGAAGCATCAGGGGGGATGATGAGAAGGGATTTGCTCCGGTTAAGCAGCAGACCACGGGAAGGCCCCTCAGCCTCAAGGATGTCAAGCGCCGCACGGAGATCACTCAGAGGGCCACAGAGAGTCCCGTCATCTAGATACCAGACGTTCATGAGGAGACCTGGAACATCTCGATTGATCTGCTCAAGAATGGGCTGTAGGGCGAGGGAAAAAACCAGCGGGCCCAGTGGGTCACCTTGCTGGACCCCACAGCAGCTGCGAATAATGTCGTCGCCGAAATGTAGAAGCGGCTGGATGCCATAGCAACATTCAAGCCAGGCTGACATGCAGCAAACATACACTTCCGATCAACAGAGTTAAAAGCATTGGAGAAGTCAACTAGGAGGAAACAGCGAGAGTCAGGAGGAATGGTACTGTCATTGATGAGACTAACCACCGAATGGACGACTGCCTCACAGCCTCCAGCGACCGCCACTCCAACTTGGAGGGGGGAAAGAGTAGTGATGGTATCGGCTCGGACTGCCCGGGAAACACACTTGGATGTCAAACGACGAAGAACCTCCCCAACAGCGATGGGACGAAGACCGCCCCCCTTCTTTTGGCAGGCCAGGAGTGTTGCCCCGCAGAGATGAGGGAGGATGGACGGGGCAACGCGACCTCTACAGAGAAGGTTAACAACACCAACTAAGCCCTGTAGAACAAAAGAGGAGCGGTCAGGAGAAGGACAGAACACAGCCTCCTTTAGGTGAGAAGCCCTGAGACAGGACGGACCAGGGGCTGAACCACTTGGGAAAGATCGAAGGGCCTTAGTGACATCCAGACTGGAGATCTGGACTGGGGGTGGAGCCGGGGATGGAAAAGGGGAGGGAGGAAGGGTGGGAGGGTGCTTGGAACGCATCACATTCAGAGCATCGACGGAGGAGGGGGCAAAACCCGCAGAAGAGAGAGATTGAATGGCCTTCCTGAATTGCCCGTCTTCGACAGCCCTACGAGCACGACGAACGTTAGCTGACCGGATTGATTCCTGAGAGGCGGGGTCAGACTGGAACTTCTTTAGATGCCGGAGAAGCCGCTCATTCTCCTCCCTGACCTCACACCAGAGGGACAACCACCCCCCAGACTTCCACTTGGCGATACGTGCTTGGACCAGTTTTAATGTAACACGCCAATGCGAACGACCCCCCTTAGGGGGACTGGCGAGGATACATCTAGCCAATAGGAAGAATTTCATCCACCCTTCATCAAGGGGGTCCGAACAGATTGTATGGCACACATCACCAACAAGGCCAGCCTTCAGCTGTTGCGTACGTTGCGCAAACAGAACACCACCCGTTTGCAGTTTCACCAGTTACTTGGACTAAACTGATTTATCGCTTGAACTATGTAAGCCACTGTCATAGGTTAATACTTTCCCTCACAAAATGTTGTAAATTTACAGAAATCTGTTTTGTCTCGTGAGTGCGGCATGTCATTAAAATGTCTCAGCAGGATGAAAAGCAGGCACAGAGGCTGTGCGTAGGTCTGTAAAGCAGCAGGAAGAAACATCGCCACAGCGCGCGCTCGCGGGATGAAAGGGGCGTGTAGATTTGGGCAGAGTGGCGCAGATCGGGCGAATATTGTCCGGTAGTATTGCACGCCGTTTGTTTCGAGACTCACTACATGCGATCTCTCGATCGGTGAATAGATTCACGCAGCATGAAGCGATCAGATGCACCGGATCAAGTGAATGCCGGGCGTTATCGAGCGTTCTTTTCTGCTGCTTAGTGACTAACTGCGCATGCGCATTCTGCACAAGCTGCAGCACACGTGGCGGCCCCTCTCCTCGTGATGGCGTCGGGCAGTGGGCAAAACCTGGACTGGGAAGGACAATAGCAACAGAAGGTAACCAGACATCATGCACCTTTAATATTTGCCTTCCTCTCACTCACGTTGTCATCTAACAGCAGCACTTTGCCAGACAGGTTTACCTTGCCATACATAACCTTTCTTTCGCTGTCATGAATTTTGCTTATTAATTTTTTTAACATTTATTTTCAAGCTTTACAATACACAATGCGATCTATAAAATAGGATGCTATAAATAAGAAATGAATGGTAATTATAAAGAAGTGTACTGAAGGAACACCAGTTTGGGAGTACTGGTGTCCTAAGATGTAGTAACTGAAGAGAAACAGGTTGTTATTGATGTACTGGAACACTTAGCGCATGGGCAAAGAAAGTGAAAAGTGCATGGATTTGTACTCTGAAAGTTGGTTTAGAAGTGATTCCAAAAGAATTGTAAGAGATGACGCTTGATAGATTGGAGAGATAGTTCCAAGTTTATCGGAGGGAGAGAGTTCCATAGCCGAGGGAGTGTGTTAAAATAAAAGTGGGCTGCAGAAGATGTTTTAGAAGAGGAGTGATTCAACTTAAGATAAGTAGTGGAGCGGGTATTACCTTTGGAAAAGTTCATGAAGGATTGAATTTGAAAAGCTTGTGATGTGTCAGGCTCCTTGAGACAGCGAATGAAAAATAGAATGTCATTCAG